TGCAGGACACAGCTGTGGCAGTAACTTCTGCTCACAAAGTAGAAAAGCCAGCTGACCTATCAGGAGGAAATTGGAGCTCTCCCTCTCTCCAAGCTGTCAGTGACCTCACTTGGAGAGACTGGTGAATGCTGGGCTGCCATTCATGGTACAGGAGGAGGAAAACTGCAGTGTGCCGGAGTCAGATAACTCCATCTGGCTTCTAATTCCCTCACTAGTATTCCTGCATTGTATGACTTTGGATTGATTTACCTCAGTTGCCTGAAACTCAGTTTTCTCATTTTGAAATGGGAATAATATCTAATTTATAGAGTTCTTAGGAACCAGAAGAGTGAAATTTGTATAAAACACAAGATCTAACACATAGTAGATGGCCAATAAAACTTACCTTCCATTTTGGGCTTTTGTTACTAGAAAGCTCAGAGCTAAATTGGAATATAAAAGTTATAAGTCTGCATATTTAGATTAAATTCTTATACAATATAATTACATTTTAATGTGTCCTGGTCTTGATCTCTTGTCTTTATTTATGTTTTTCTGATCCTAATTCTTTTTCTTACTACTGTTTAATTGCAGGTGCTCTTACTGGATATCTCCCCAAATTCTTGGCGGAACTATATAAATAGACTCTAACTGAAGTCAGGAGAAATGGATCCTTATTATGACTCTGTAATGCCTGTGTGATTTGGGCAACAGAATTTCTCTGAACCTCAATTTCTTCATCTGTAGAATGGGGGTATTAATAAAATATACTAGCTTTTATGGCTCAGGAATAAGGATCTATTTCTTGAGTGTTTGGTAGAAGGACTTAGTAAATTATGAAAAACTTAAAAGTGGAAGTGGAAATTTGTAAGACAATGCCCCATTTTATTCATCTTTGTAAATACTCCCCCCTCCCCAAACTGTGCCCCAGGACTCATAGCACAGGGACAGGCACATGCTGAGAAAATGGCCATTGAATCTCACTTCCGAGGCCTCGCCCATGCTTGCTTTTTTACTTAGCAGACAGCTTGATGGTCCAGTGTCTGATGACCCTTAGAGATGGACTGCCTTCCCCTAGCAGACATGAAACGATTCAACAGAATAGAAGCATAAAAATGAAGATAGAATTAACTAATGGTACCTGGCGGGCAAGTGAGTCTGTCAAATGCCATTATGGGAGGGGGAGACAACCAAGCTCCCATGTCATAGGAATTCAGCAGGGATTTGTTTTAAAGCATTTTTGTTTGGACTGAAAATGAACAACAAGAAGATAACATATGAACAAAAGAGATAAAGAGGAAGATTTAGGCAACATTAGAAAGACCCAGAAAACGATCCCAATGAACAAAAGATCGCAGAAACAAATAACCAGTGCACAGGGCAGTAAGATCAAAATCAGATTACTTTATAAAAGCTAGCATTTCTTTAAATGGAAAACAATGCATATTGTTTATCCTTGAAATGTGACATACACTCCTTTTTCAAGAATGCCAAAGCATTCCAAGCAACAGCCCATATCTGACAAAGCCCTGTCACCCTAGGGTCCTGGAGGTCATTGTTCCTGTACAGTATTGGGAGGCTTGATTGAATGGATGTTGCAGAACTTAGCTTTTGCTTTGAATAGAAAACCCCAGAAAATAAGCCTATGCAAGAAGAGGCAGAATTTGAATTAGGTAAGGGCCCAGCTGTTTAATAACAAAATAATTGCTCAAGGCGCATTCTTCCGCAATCTTTTCCGATGTAACGACTATTCTTGTGCCCTGCCTCTGTCCATGATGCCTCAGTATTTGCACAAAATCTCAGGGCCTCCTAAAGATGCCAATTCAGAAGCCAGACAGTCACTTCCCTAATGCCACAAAAATAGATTCAATTTTACATACATCAGAGTGATTTCAGAAGCAATTTCTCATCTCCAGTGTAAGCACTGCTTACATTTTTTTCCCCCTCAAATCTCATTCCAGTGGTTCCACAGGGCATTTTAAAAGGTACCTGATGCATTTTAGGGCATTGGAAAGATCCCCAGAGTGTGTTTGTAGCTGCAGTCTGAGGACACCAGGTGCATAGAGAGAGTCTTAAAATATTCAGTGATTCAAACAAAGGCAAAATTTCATAATAACTGAGTATAAGTCAATTGAAATTTGTTTTTTTCTCTTTTTAAAAGCAATATCATTAAAACCAATGTCTGTGTATACATGTATATATAAGTCTGTGTGTGTATATACGTCACTGTGTGTGTATATATATGTATGTGTGTATAAATATAAACAAACACACACACTCCCAACCATTTGGAAAGATTGTTCCTGGCCTTTAAAACATCTAATTAAATTTCATGGTATATTTGTCCTCTTCCTCTCCAACTAGCTAATCTATCTCAGTCTTGGGTGTTTTCATCTTAAGGGTCTGAGTTTGGCCCATGATGAAAACGGTGGGCAGGAAATCAGTGTTACGTGGGTTTTCACTTGAGATCGGAAAGCTTGAAGCCAAATACCTACCATTTCAGGGTCACAATGATTGTCATGCATTCTTGACTGTAATCTTTTTGGCATTCAGAGTCCTCCCAAGGCACTTTTATAAATGGAAAAAAAAAAGTATGTACAAGAGGCTGGCCTGTACAGGAGAGGTTTTGGATGAATAGGTACTACTTGGCCAGTATTTTTGATCAGCTAGATTTGCAATTGAACTTCACACCTGGGCCAAAAGAGGGAGGGCCAGTGACAACTTGGTGTAGCCAGAGGCTCAGCAAGCTCAGGATCATCCTTTCTTTAAGGACAAACCAAGCCCATTCTCTTGCCAACCCCTTCTCTACTTCTGCTCGTCTACATCAACATCCCCTTTCCCAGCCCCTAGAGAATGTATGAATCCTAGTGATTGACCTAGATGGAGAATGGGAAAAGACCTGACTTCATGGTTAGGCAGACTGCAGATTTGCTCTGATCTCAAAAGCTAAATATTTGCTTATAAAATAATCAGTATGTGACTTTAGACTTTGTCTTTAAAAGCCATAACCAATCCTTATGAAATCCTCAAACTTAGCATCACCAATACTGGACGATGTGTCTATTGACAGGATGTAAGGAAAAACATACAACTTCACCTATGTAGTATTTTTGCCAAAATCTTTAACCTGGATGTAATCATGATGAAAAAAATCAGACAAATCTGGATTGGGTAATATTCTACAGGTCTAGACTTTCAAAAAATGTCAGTATCTTGAAAGAAAAAATAAAGTTGGGAGGACTGTTCTAGATAAAAGATGAAGAGACATTAAAGTCAAATACAATATGAATCCTGGATTAGACACACAAAAAGTTAAGAACATTTTGGTGACACTGAGGAAATTTGACTGTGGACTAGTGTATTAGATATCACTAAATTAAGGTTACATTTCTTGGGTAGTGGTTACTGTGGTTATGCTGAAGAGCTGTACTGGTTCTTAGGAAACACATGCTGAATTCTCTGGATGTGGAATGTCATGATGTCTGCAAATTCTAAATAGCTCAGGAAATTTTGTGTCCAGAGAGAGAGAGAGAGAGAGAGAGAGAGAGAGAGCACAAAAGTGCAAAATATTAACCATTGCTGAATCTAGGTAAAGGATATATGAGTATTCATTTTGCTCTTTTCTCAATTGTTTTGTGGATTTAAACCATTTGCTCTCCCCAAAGACAGTGCATCAATATTTGAAAACAGTTATTTCCTCCCTCAAAATTCTGTGTTCTAAGCCAGGGTGCCTATAAGAACCCTCTGAATGGTTTTATAAAATCCACATCCCTCAGTTCTGCCCCACTTCTTATCCCCCAGGAGATTCTGATTCAGTAGGTAAGATCTGGGGTCCAGATACCTGTATTTGAAAACCTCCCAGGTAGTTTCTGTGCTGCACGTGAGCTTAGGAATCATGGGCTTGGATTACTCTCAGATCCTGGATCCATCAGGAACAAGCTATGTGGGTCTGGGAAGGTTAGCTAAGCACACTCAGCCTTGGATACCTTGCCTATAAAGTGGGAACAATAAATCTAAGTATCTCACCAGACTATGATGAGGATGAAATGCGACAGTGTCTGTATCATAGAAGATGGTCAATAAATGTTCATTTCCCTTCTTCCTTCATCATCCCAAACTGATTATATCTAAAGTGATTTTTAAAAAATGTGGTTTCTTCCATTTGCAATTTACATGGTATATGGTGAAATCTGTTTATGCTCATATCCTTTTGGATCTGCATTCCCCACTTTAGAGCAGAGGCCCAGGGATCTAGTCCATTAAATCCAAGGAAAAACTGGCTTGCAGCACAGTTAAAAATTAAGAACAAAAGCCAGCTCTCTTGAGTCTGACCACCAAAGTAACCTTAGGTGTTACCCATCTTGGGGTTCTCCTCTGGATGAGGGTTAACCGTGAAATCTTAACTGCTTATATTAGATTGGGATCCTTTACTAACTCTGCATGAGCACTCAGGTCGTCTTGACTAAGCTACTGGGAACACTGGCTGCTGCTTCAAACTGGCCAAGGCTTGGGAAGCATGGCTTCCCATCTAAATCATCACCATCAGACTTTGGAGAAGCTGCTCTGTGAGCCTCAGTTTCCTAAGCACTCAGCAGAGACAGGTGATAATTCATGACTCACCTACCTTACGTGGTATACATGAAACACAGTTTTAAACATTTCGAGTCACTTAATTCAGTGTGGCATATTTTTCTCCTAAGGGCATAGACATCCTCCTCCTCCTTTTCTCGTATTATTATTTTTAACCTGTCTCTATTTCCACAGCAGTTGAATCTATCACAAATCAGATGGAAACAGGATAAAATCATCTGATTTGGGGTAGATTTTTAAATACTCCTTTTCACCCCAGGATAGGCTGCCCTAAGTCTTTGCCAGGGAGAACCTGCATCCTGGACCATCCCAGGGAAGAAGCCTGATCCCGTGCCTCACAGCACCTGGGCACTGAGAAGGTGTCCACGGCAGAGGCACCAGGGCCAACCTGGACCACAGATGTCCCCTTCCCCTTAGTTGACTCAACTTACTGAAGCCGTTAACGTCCTGAGAACTAGAAGAGAAGCCTTCATCGTTGCGGCTGGTGCTGAGCTTGGTGTTGGGTTTGTCGGCTGAGGCCACAGGCCCCATCTCCCTCTGGGCTCCACTCTGGGTCTCCTTCTGCTTCTTGGCCAGCTTCCTTTGGGACATGTGCAAGGGGAAAAACCACAGTCAGATGGTGCCAGTTACATTACAGCATTGGGAAGACAGATTGCTCTCCTTCCCCAGTTCTCAGCCTAACCCCCTAAGCCTGGTTTATTCTCTGGAAATAGGGTCAAGGCAGGCCCTCCAATGTCAAGGCAGAATAAACCTAAGTCCTCCTGAAATCATTAATGGTTTTCACTTACTCAGAAGTATGAGACTCGTGCTGCCTCATTCCCAACGATGGGCATGTTCTGTGCTTGAGCTTAAAATGGGAACTTGGTGAGACTTGAATAATGCATTCCCCACTCTCCTTTCACTGGGAGGAAGAGGCCAGCCCTGTCTTTCTGTACCCATGTTTCTGGATGAGATTAAAAATGGAGCCTGGCCTTCTCAGGGACTCATGAAATAATGGTAGATTGAAGTAGGGTGGTTGGCAGTGGGTGAAGGTGGGGATTAGTCTCATAGCTCAAAAGGAGAAAAATTAAAGCTGAATATGATTTGTAATTATTACCAAAGGAATAATAGACCCTAAGAACTGGATGGGTGTTTATAATGATAACAGTGCAGAACAGCGATCTCAAACTTTGGTGTAAATATGAATCTCCTGGAGAGTTAAAAAAGCACACAGAGGCCCAGGCTCATGAAAGTAGGACAAGTGTAGACCTCTACATGGCTACCAGGCTCTCCAGGTGATTCTTATAACAACCACTGGGGGGTAAAACCATCGACTTTGGTGTTAGGCAGACTTGGGTTCATGTCCTACCTTTGCTGCCTGCCAGCTGCATGACACAGGGACGATTCCTTAATCTTTTTAAGTCCTGAGCTCTTGCTTCATATATCGTATAACACAACAGGACCAAGCTCAAAGGGTCATGAGGACTAAATGAGATAATGCATAAAACAAGTACACAGAGCACAGTGCCTGGCTGCTAGTGAACATTCAACACATGGCGGTTGCTATTCTTGTTTTCATATTATTTTGTCAACTGATCCAACTACATTCCCATGTCTAAATCCCCTTTCCGAGAGCCCCACTGTGGAATCCCATCTCTCTCTCTGAATTATACCTAGTGGTGGAGACTTTGAACCTTACCAAAGAACTAAAAAGTTAATAAGTTCTTTTTTTATGGATTTGAAATCTACTTCCCTTAAATTTTAATTGATCTATCTTAGATATATCATTGGATATATAAGAATATGGCTAACCCCTCTTGCACATAACAGCTATTCAAGTATTTCTAAAAAGCCATCATGATCCCTCTGAATATTCCCAACATATATGCATCTAAATACAGTTTTGATGTTCTTATTACATGAAAGGCTATAGGCTAAACATTAAATATCCTGAGAGTAAATTTCTCCAGATCTGTTGCTCCATCCTTCACATGACTTGGCTTCAAATTCAATCTTGGTGACTCCTATTTCAACACGAAGAATAGGTATCCCAGAGTAGTCAAATTCAGTGCAATGGAAGAAATAATTTTCTAGAGTTGAGCCCACCTGATCATGAAATAGGCAGTTTCAAGAGGTAATGATCTCTCTGCCGGGGAGGTATTAAAGGAAAGGATAACCTAGACTTAGAAAAGTTTTAGAGGAGATCATCTACGACCAATTCCAGTTTGATAGTATCCTCCTTAAAACATGGGTCTTGAGATCTAGGTATAGACTGCAAATAGGAATGACAGACAGCATATGCAAATGAGGATGATTTGAGGAGAATTTATTCATAAAAGGACGACTGACAAAGGTGAGAAGGGTGTAGGGGACCCAACATATAATATAGAGATAGGAGAGCTGTTTACCAACTTTGGGTCCAGAGAGAAAAATAGAGGAAGCAGTAGCCAGAACCCAAAAGGAGACAGTTACGAAGAGGTGACCTGGAGAGCAGAGGGTCAGCCAGTTCTGAACAACCTCACATAGAGGGAACCGGGGCAAAAATGCCCTGACCACACCCTCTTCCCTTCCTCCCACCTCCTGTAACAGCCAGAGGTGGCAAGGGGTCCCTTTGAAGGAGTCCACATGGAACATGCTCCGGAAGCAGACAGCAGAGTAGGGAAAGGTAGAGAGTGAATCTGGACCCAGGAATCCAGACCAAGAAGAGAAAAGCTTTTACATCATTTTGGATATAATTTAAAGACACATGCCACCTAAAATGGGCTCTTCATTTATTTATTTTTTAAAATTGGCCTGGGGAAAGAAGGGCACTCAGGGATTGGAATACAACTTTTGGTTAAAATGCTTTGGCCACAGGCATACTGTTCTAGTAATGATACTATTCCAGGCAGACAGAAAAACAGCAAGAAATGAAGCATTGGATCAGTTGGGCCCTTTCTCATGATCGGCAATGAGACAGCAGCACGGGGAACACCAACGCACGAAAAATGAGTAATTCTGCTGCTGATGACATTTCAAAATTTTATTCTCCAATTTATTATCAAAAAGGAGCATGTTTAAAAATGTATATGTGTGACCATCTTAACTGTAAATTTGAAAAGATATATAGCAGATCTTTTGCCTCTATCTGAGCTCTGCTCCCATTACCCCAGCAAGAAACAGAAAAAAATCTAAGAGAGTTAACTTTAAAACTATAAGTGAGTATGGGAAGCTCTGATACTTGGGGGCAGAGCTCCCAACAATCTCATTCTATTCAGAGTAAAATAATATGAAGAGGGTTGTCTTAGGCACAAATCATTGGCTTCCAAAGGAATAATAATAATAAAAAAAAGCCTCACTCCTTCTATGAAAAATAGCATTTTATAGAAATGTTTGGGTGGCTCTAAACACCTGTATCCAAAAAAAAAAAAAAAAAAAAAAAAAAAAATGAAAACTGAGTCTCTTTAAAACATATAGATCTTTAAAAACTGGAAAGCTAACTGACTCTTAAAAAATCAGATATATGACATTCTTAATATTTAGCCCATGGCTGATACTTACTACATATTCATGGTGATGATGATGCTATATAGTCATTTAAAAATGTATAGACAGGTGTTTCAGCAATAAGTAAACACAGCTACAATGTGGAAATGGAGGGTTGTAGAAGGAAATAAATCCTGAAACCACTGTTTTGGGATCTATCTCTATTCGTTCAGAGTTTAAAATTTAAGCATTAAAAAACTCTCAGTAACAATGAAAAATTGATATTCATGCCCATAACCAAAGAGTTTAGTTTATCATCCCCTCCTGTTTTTTCTTTCAAGATAGGGGAAGATCCAAACCTGTGAATAGGGCATACAAGACTCTTACACTACGATCCAGGCTTTAACTCAGCCTTATTTTCAACACACATCTCCTTTTAAGAAACATCAACTACCTCTCCCCACGCCTCCCCCACACCGTTCCTCAATACTCTGTCTTCTTTCATGTGTTCCCTTTCTTTTACACTGGCCATCTCCTCTTCATTCTTCAAGGCTCAATGTCTTTCAAGTGTCTCCTTTGAGGCTTCCCTGCTCCTCTAGACGGAATGCTAGTTTTCCGCTCTTGGCTGACTCATCCATTGAACAAATATGTAGTGAGCACACACATGTATCAGACTCTGGTGGATGTAAGACTCTATCTTCCTGACCTTGACCCTCATGGAACACACAGACTGATCGGAAAGACAGGCATTACACTGAGAAGTACACAAAGAAATATAAAATCACAAAGATGATGAATGCCAAGAATACCTGGTTCTACGAGAGAGCTAATACCTGGTTTGAACACCGGCAGGAGATCAGGGAAAGCTTTGGTGCCTTGTCAGCTAAGTACTTGTCTAGTCAAATTGCAGTGATTGGACTCTCTCACGCAGTAGGGCAAGAAACTCTTGGGAGAAGGGCTTTGACTCCTCACTCCTACTCCAATTTCTTGCTGAGTGTCTGGCACACAGCCAGTGCTCAATAAATTGTTTGCACACATTCGTATTTAAAAGTCTATGATTTGGAGTGCAGAAAGATGGTCATCTTACTCTGAACACAAATTGCAACTACTTTAAAAATAGATATGTGTAAGGAAAGAGAAGGAAAAACCTGCATAAAATTAGTTTGTGACCTGGAATATTTTACCTAGGAATATTTTTTGGTTAATAACTTAGCATTCCCCTCTTAGAATGTTTACAGAATTATTGGAATGCTCACAGAAGTCAGAGATTTTTTCCCCCTAGAGTCCACAGACTATCCATAGCTATAGAATGTTTTTTTAAAAAAAGCCCAGGAAAGTGACATGACTCACGGGATGTCATATGACTGATGGAATCCTCAGAGCTTTCGAGACTCCAGTATTTACAACTTTCTGAACTTGGATTTTTTTCTCTAGTTGTTCTGAGATTCTTGCCAATTGGGTCACAGAATCTCGCCAGCAGGGGGTACCAAATGCTGGTAAAAGAGAGCATGCTAAACCTGTTTATCCCTCGGCAGGGACATTTCCAGAGCTGAACAATGTTTTAAGACATAGCAGTCCAAAGTTTACTGCTTCTGACAGGTGGAGATGAGGTGACGTGGCCACAGATCTTGGCATTCTTTCCTCTAACACATCGCTCTGAGATCTCTCCGACATTTGCTTGTTAGCTGAGTGAGGGAAAGGCAGCAGGGGGTGTGCCCATGATGGTCCCTGAGTCCTGTGATTTATTCTGAGCACCGCTCTTTACAAGGGATAGTGGCAGGTAGAATGGCTCAGGGGAGAGGAACGAAGAGCTGTGAAGGGTGCTGCAGTCACTCTATGAGAGGAGGAGTGTCTGAAGCATCCAGGGATATTTCTCATGGAGAAGGAATAATAAGGAATGTTCTCCTTACACTCTGACAGCTGGGTCTGTGTGGCCTCAGGGGGTGGAATTAGGACCAGGTCTGCTTGACACAAGGAAGAAACTTCTAGCAATGTAGAATGGCTTAGGTCCCTTTAGGAAGTGCCTAATGCCTGAATTGCCCTTGCCAATTTTTCTTCTTTGGTAACCTTCTCTTCACTTTTAAGGCCCAATTCAAATGTCCCCTGCTCTTAGATGTCTTTGCTTCTTCCCCAAAG